GCTTTTCATGACCTTGCTTAAATGCTACCTGCACTGACCTTGGCTTGCTTGTTGGATTCTGCTTCTGCTTTCTGTATCTGCCTGATCTGCCTTACTGCTGCTAACATTGGCCTGTGACCTGAATTCCCTTCTGCCTGCCGTCTGTTATTATTATTATTATACAGGATTTATATAGCACCAACAGCGCTATACAATATAACGGGAGACAATACGGCAACAATACAGTTCAATACAAGAGGGATAGGAGTGCCCTGCTCCTTGGAGCTTACAATCTAGGAGAGTTACCGCATGTTACCAACCCATCCTGTCTGACCCTGCATCCAGCTTCGCCAGCCTGCCCTGCTGTGCCATCTGCCTGCCGCCAGCTTACCTGCTACCAGCCTATTATGCTGTCTCATCTGTCTGCTGCCGGCCCGCTTACTACCGGCCTGCTCTACTGTGCCAGCTGCTGCCAGCCTGCTCTGCAGTGATTTCTGCCTACAACCAGCTGCTCCACTCCAGGCATCCATCCAGCAAGGTGTCAGCTACTCCTACGCAGACTACTGGACTGATCAGGCACCTATACCCTGCTTGCTCTCATGATTGCTGTTCCACCTTCAGTGGTCCCTGAGCCAGAACTGTACAAGAGGACTTCCTCTGCATGTCAGTCTCACTAATGAGGTACATGACAAGCACCCACTGGGGAAAGAACCATGGGACCAAAAAAGAGGGCCCTTTAAGGGGTGAGCGCTGCACAACGTATGCAAGATATATTTCTCAAAAGGAACATAAAATAATATTCATATTTAATTACGAACCTCTGTGCATGGGTGCAAACCTGGAACGACTCATTAAACTAAAATAAAATTGAAACTTGATTGTCCATGCATATTGTGTTAGTTTTTTTTTTCCCATACCTTGTATGTTTCTGCTTTTTATGCCAAGGTGGGTATTGTGAATTCCTCACGATTTCAAGAATTGGCAATCAAATATTCCTGAAATATATCTGTTTGTAGTGAACACTGCATGTGGATTGATGGAAAAACTATTGTATACGTTTACTAGGTTTTTTTAGTATAACTACATTCTGCAGTATTTATATATGTATCCTCTATGGATGTATATTCTCCTCTTGCATGGTAAATACACTTATGGTTGGTATTCTTGGATCAGTTACTAGTGAAGTGCAATTAGCTGCATTTTAACAATTTACATACATGGACACACTTGTTAGGATGCCAGCATACTCTACATGTGTACATGAGTGTGGACATGTTAGAATCTCTTTCAGGTGTCATTGCTCTTTGTGTTAGTGTTGGGGAGATTTCCATCTCTTCCTATCCTGGTTGTACACAAGTAGTCAGGGTAAACCTCACCAACAGGAACATAGACAGCAACTAACCCCTACCCACCCAAATTTACTGAAATAAGTAATTTTTATTGACATCTATGTTCCCATAGGGGGGTTTTCTTTTTCTGCTCCTTCAACCAAAATCGAAGTGAAGTAAAGCATCCCCAGTGTGGTTCAAGACAACATTAAAAACTCCACAAAAAGCTTGTCTTCAATGTTCTTACTTATGGGTTGGTCTGTTAGTGCCACGTTTTATTTTATTCTTCAGCATCCTCTGGGCCTCCTTCTCCAAGAACCGCTCTCATCATGGTGTAGTCATTGATCAGATAGACAATTGATCAGTGTAATAATCAGACTGTATGCCTCAGCATGTAGACATCAGTACATGCTAATAATAGCCATTGTCTAAATCTATGTCATCAATATAGAGTTCAAAACACTGATCACACTGCTATATCCCATCTGTGCAAATTACAAGCAGGTACAGACTGTGTATACAATGTTGCATACAGAGCCAGGCCACCTGACACTATGCTTATCTACCCCTTTAGAATAAATATTTGTCTAAGACAAGAGATATATACATGCCTTATGTCACTGCTTCCAAAATGCTCAGTACTCTCCAAATAGTGCAAAGAAACAGCTGTCAATGTTGTCCAAAGCCTAGTCTTGGTGTGATTGGTAGCAATTGGAAACACACTCTCCACATTCTTTTTGAAAGCACACTCCAAATAGGAACGTTTATAAAGATAACTACGGTACATTCACCGGTCACTTTATTAGGTACACCTATTCAATTGCTTGGTAACACAAATTGCTAATCAGCCAATCACATGGCAGCAACTCAATGCATTTAGGCATGTAGACGTAGTGAAGACGACTTGCTGTAGTTCAAACTGAGCATGAAAATGGGGAAAAAGGGGATTTAAGTGACTTTGAATGTGGCATGGGTGTTGATGCCAGACGGCTGTTTGGAGCATTTCAAAAACCGCTGATCTACTGGGATTTTCACGCACAACCATCTCTAGGACTTACAGAGAATGGTCCTAAAAAGAGAAAATATTCAATGAGTGGCAGTTGTGTGGACGAAAATACCTTGTCAATGTCAGAGGTCAGAGAATGGGCAGACTGGTTGCTGCAACATTCAGATGATAATATAATTTTTTTCACACACAGTTTTCTTTTTTGATGGTATGTACTTGCCACTGGATGTTTTATTTTTTGCAATATAAGTTTTTCTTTGTTTCTATTATAAAATTTTGCAAACAGGTAATTTTTCTCCTTCACTGATGGGCATTGAAGAGGCTGCACTGATAGGCAGCACTGATGGGCACTGATAGGCAGCACTGACGGGCACTGATAGGCAGCACTGATGGCAACTGATAGGCGGCACTGATGAGGTGGTACTGATAGGCGGCACTGATGAGCTGGCACTGATATGCAATATTGATGGGCATTGATAGGCAGCACTGATGGTTGGTACTGACTGACAGCACTGACTGGCGGCACTGCTGGGCACTGACTGGTGGGACTGATGGGCACTGATGGGCGGTACTGATGGGTGACACTGCTGGGCACTGGTGGGTGGCACTGCTGGGCACAGGTGGGTGGCACTGCTGGGCACAGGTGGGTGACACTGCTTGGCACAGATGGGTGGCACTGGTGGGTGCCCTGATGATCTGTGCCAATCTGTCCTCTGAAAATTGCTGGTAATCGGCAGTACTTTCCTCACGCTGTGAGAGCGTGAGGAAAGTGCAGCCGATAACCGGCAACTGCATTTTCCGGTGATCTGCTGTGTCATTGGACACGGCTGATCACGTGGTAAAAGGCCGCTGTAATTGGCCTTTCACCACATTACATGATCAGCTGCGTCCGCCGAGTGCACGATCCCGGGGGTGCGTGGGAGGGCGTGTTCTGGTAAGACGTCATATGACGTCCTCCCAGAACTGGCCGGCCGCAGTGTAGCTGTCATTCGGCTATCTGCCGTCGGCAAGTGGTTAAGGTGTATGTAAGCTCTAACAATGTATTTCTCTTATTTGCTCTATTCTGGTCTGTTCATGGAAAGCATTTAATTATAACTGCTTGACAAGTGCACAATAAAAAAAAAAAATAGCTGTTTATCCAACCAGAAATTTTGTGAACTTCCTGTGCTCTCTGCCTCTGAACTGCTATCAGTTAGCATTGTTTTCTGCTACCTCTGTGTACTACAAAACACCTTCCCTGTTATGGAGAAGAAAGGGAGGTGTTATGTAGCCCTAAGTATTGCAGCATTCTGTAATCCTAACACACTCCCTGTCCTAGGGTTACCATGCTGCTCAGTATGGTTGTCAATAGAGATGAGCGAATTATTCAAAAATTCCGTTCGGCTGATTCGCCGAATTCGCGGAATAAATTCGCTTCGAGCCGAATATATTCGCTGCGAATTTAACTTATAAAAAGGGTGTTTCTAGGCTTCAGAGAGCCTTTATATTAGTGCAGAACACTGTACCTTTAATTTAAATGCCCTTGGAGTCTGCTGGGGAAGAGAAATAATACTGACAGTCAGTATGACATGCAGGTGTGGCGATGGAGACAGCAGCAATGGGAGGCCGTACAGGGACCCATGACACACTCTGGACCTGGCAGCAGCATGAGGAGTCGGTACGGGGGCCCATGGCAGATTACGGGCCTGGCAGCAGCATGAGGAGGCGGTACAGGGGCCCATGGCAGAGTGGCGGAGCGTAAGCAGCTAAAATTGAAGGCCATACAGAGGCCTATGTTAAAAAGTCCCCCCAGCAGCAGCGTGGGGAGACGACTATCAAGAGTCCAATGGCAGAGTGGCGGAGCAGAAGCAGCTTCAATTGAAGGCCATACACAGGCCTAGGTTTAAAAGTCCCTCACAGTTAATTCCAATAACGAACTCTACTCCTCCGTGCAATCTACTTACGAGACCCTGGGCAGGTCTGGGTCCAATTTGTGGTAGAGACTGGTTTTGTTCAGCCATGCTTGAGCGAGTAATAACAGGTCTGTGCTGCCCTTTGGTGTCTGGCTTAATGCGCACAACACTGAACGTCCCAGCGTTTGTCAACGATTTGCCGTTAAGTGATGCAAACCCTGCTGAACCACGTTCATGAGGAGCCGGTACAGGGGGCCATGAATCAGTATGGACCTGGCAGCAGCGTGTGAGCAGATGACAGAGGCACATGGCGCAGGGTGGCGGTGTAGGCAGCATTATTCTGAAGCCATACACAGGCCTAGGTTAAAAAGCGGAAGCCGTCAGCAGCGTGAGCAGACGACAGAGACACATGGCGCAGGGTGGTGGTAGATGCAGCAGTATTCGGAAGCCAAACACAGGCCTCGGTTAAAAAGCGGAAGCCGTCAGCAGCGTGAGCAGACGACAGAGGCACATGGCGCAGGGTGGCGGTGGAGGCAGCAGCAATGGAAGGCCATACAGCACCCTATCACAAAATGGAACCCACCAACAGTGTAAGGAGACCTGAAAGTGGCACATGGCAGAGTCTGGCGATGAAGTCAGCAGCAATGGGAGGCCGTACAGGGACCCATGACACACTCTGGACCTGCAGCAGCAAGAGGAGGCGGTACAGGGGCCCATGGCAGAGTGGCGAAGCGTAAGCAGCTTAAATTGAAGGCCATACAGAGGCCTATGTTAAAAAGTCCCCCAGCAGCAGTGTGGGGAGACGACTATCAAGAGTCCAATGGCAGAGTGGCGGAGCAGAAGCAGCTTCAATTGAAGGCCATACACAGGCCTAGGTTTAAAAAGTCCCCCAGCAGCAGCGTGGGGAGACGACTATCAAGAGTCCAATGGCAGAGTGGCAGAGCGGAAGCAGCTTCAATTGAAGGCCATACACAGGCCTAGGTTAAAAAGTCCCCCAGAAGCAGTGTGGGGAGACGACTATCAAGAGTCCAATGGCTGAGTGGCGATCGGGAAGTCAGCGTTGTGATTGCAGATGCAATGCAGAGATTCTATGAGGTGATGCCGTGGGTGCGAAGAAGATCATATACCGTCGTACTTCCATCCATAAGACGGAACAACCTCCGAACCGGGAGCTTTATTACCCTGACCCGCTGAGCAGCTTCTGGGATACCCAAGAGGCCCATGGCAGAGTGGCGGAGCGTAAGCAGCTTCAATTAAAGGCCATACAGAGGCCTATGTTAAAAAGTCCCCCCAGCAGCAGCGTGGGGAGACGACTATCAAGAGTCCAATGGCTGAGTGGCGATCCGGGAAGTCAGCGTTGTGATTGCAGATGCAATGCAGAGATTCTATGAGGTGATGCCGTGGGTGCGAAGAAGATCATATACCATCGTACTTCCATCCATAAGACGGAACAACCTGCGAACCGGGGAGCTTATTGCCCTGACCCGCTGAGCAGCTTTCTGGATACCCAAGAGGCCCATGGCAGAGTGGCGGAGCGTAAGCAGCTTCAATGAAAGGCCATACAGGCAGCAGTATGAGATCTGGCAGCAGTTATGAGAAGGCGGTACAGGGGCCCGTGGCACAGTGTGGTGATGGGGGCTACAGAAACTGGATGCCAGAAAGTGGCCGATTAGGGCTATATACTGCATGGAATTATAAAGTTGTAAAGACAGCGGCCTATAAGGCTATACACACTATAACAATCATGACTTGATTGACCATTGGCCTATAAGGCTATACACAGCATGAATATCATGACTTATTCTGAGAGTGGTTTGGAAGGCTATATACAAAAAGTAATTCATGAGCTGTCCGGACAGCGGACAATAAGTACATATTTACAAATCAATTCATCAGCTGTCCAGCCAGCGGCCTCAAAGGCGACACATATAGAAAGCAATTCATGAGCTGTTCAGACAGCGGCTTCTAAGGCGACAGATATACAAAGCAATTCCCGAGGTGTTCAGGGAGCGGCCTGAACGGCTAGGTTATTACTAAATTAGATATTTTTGTGGCCAAACATCGGCCTATAAATAGATGTCTACACAGTGACAAAAAATTATGTCGCCAGACAGCGGCCCCTAAGGCGACAGATATACAAAGCAATTCCCGCGATGCGCACAGGGCCCACAGTGTTGAGGATGGACGTTGGCGCAGAAAGGCAGAGACCAACATGACTACATAGGTGGTTTTTATAGTACTTTATTTTGGCCTCCCTCTCAGCAGGTGTTGAAAAAGGCCACCATTTTTTGAACGGTAGCGAGGGTCCAGCAAGGTGGACAGCAAAAGTCATCCCTCTGTCTGATGGTGTTATTATTCGGCTGTCGCTACGCAAGCAACCGAGCATGCTATGGGCCATTTGTGCCAAGGAATGCGAGGGACTCCTGCCTCCATCTCCACAGCATACTGCCACGGTGCGTCTGGGTCCTCTGTCTCCTCCTCCTCCTCTACCAGATGCTCCTGCTCCTCCTCACTCCTGTCCGCTGAGTGGAAAAACCACCCATTTCACTCAATAATTCCTGAGCACCAATGTCCTCCTCTACCTCCTCCTCTTCTTCCTGTCCTGCCCCCACAGGGGTCATGTGGCGTTGAGATCTGTGCGCCACGTTCTACCGCACCCTGACCAGCCATTGTTAAACAGCATTTGTTCCAGGACGTGCAACAGAGGAATGACGTCGTTCATTCCCATAGTCCTGCCAACTCACGAATAGCGTGGCCTCCTCAAAGGGCCTGAGCAAGCGGCAGGTGTCACGCTATGAGCTGCCAATGGCTGACATCTAAGTTACACAGGGGAGTACCTTTATCCGCTTGTAACATCAGGAAATCGGTGATGGCCTTTCGCTGTTCGTAAAGGCGGTCTAACATATGTAGGGTTGAATTCCACCTTGTTGCAACGTCGCAGATCAGGCAATGCTGTGGAATTCCGTTCTGCCGCTGCAGCTCAAGGAGGGTGTGCTAGGGTGTGCTTTGCGGTGTAGGAATGGCTGAAATTCATGCAAAGTTTACGTGACATTTTAAGGATGTCTTGCAGTGGGATGGTGGATTTTAGGAACCGCTTGACAACCAGATTGAACACGTGAGCCATGCATGGCGCATGGCACAACCTTCCTTGACGCAGAGCAGACACCATGTTCTTTCCGTTTGTCAGGGTCAATATGGTTCCGATTTTCAGTTTGCGCGGAGACAGCCATCTGTCGATTTCTCTGTTCATTACACTCAGAAGTTCCTCCCCTGTGTGACTACGTTCGCCAAGGCATACCAGGTGCAGCACAGCGTGACACTGTTGCGCCCTGCACATGTGATATGCCGGTCGGGTAATGGGACTTGGCACGAGGGGGTGGCGGCTGAGGACACGGCGGAAGAAGAGGTGGGTAGAGGCGGACATCTTTGCTGGACCAAGGACGTGCCAAACGTTGGAGGCAAAAGCGGCGTGACCTGTCCAAGTTGCTGGTGCGGCTGTGCCGGCCACACGTTCACCCAGTGGGCCGTAAATGACATGTACTGTCCCTGACCGTAGTTACAGCTCCACACGTCGGCGCTGCCGTGCACTTTGGCAGGAGACCGACATGCTCAAAGACTGGCCCACCATCTCTTCTACATGTGAAGGCAGGGCTAACACTGCCTTTTTGGCGAAGAAATGCCGGCTTGGCGACTCTCTCCACCGCGGCTCGGCACAAGCCATCATTTCTCGGAAAGGTGCTGAGTCCACCACTTGGAAAGGAGGGACTGCAGCACCAGCAACTTGGACAGGAGGACGTTCAGCTTCTGCACCTTCGGGTGCGTGCTCGCAAACTGTTGTCTCTTGGAAACGGATTCCAAGAAAGACTGCTGACGGAATCCGTCAAGAGGAGTAGCAGGAGAAGGAGCATCTGAACGAGCGGAAGATGCCAACGATGCGACAACTCCCCTCAGCAAGGTGTTGGAGCCTTGACTGGCTGATAGAGGGTGATTGACGTCGGTGTGACGGGAGCAAGCAAGTAACGGAGCGGGTGATGGAGCGGGGGCTGGGGGGGCAGGCAGAACCGCCGTATCTTTATCACGGTTTTTCCCAGGCCACCGAATGGTGACGCTGCATATGCTGACGCAACGCTGTAGTCCCAACATTGGCCCCCCTGGCCACGCTGACTTTCTGGCCACATAGTCGACATACGGCTACGTTTACTTCCTCGGGCGGCGTGACGAAAAATTGCCACACCGCCGAGTAGGAAACTTTGCCCCAGCTACTCCTCACTAGCTGACTGCTACTTCCTCGTGCACACCGGCACCACTACTGGCCGTGGTGGTAGGCTGCAGTGGAGCTGGTGCTCTACTCCGTGGCCGTTTGCCTCCACTGACACTGCTGCGACCACTGCTGCCTCCTGGGCAACCCACCGACTGTTTTGCTCGCTGGCAAGCTGGCACCCTCTTCTCCTGAATGATGCGGAAGCAATAGCCTGATGACGAGGAGGCTGCCAAGTGCGATCAGCCTCATCATCATCAATTAGGGTCTCCGCGTCACTACTAGCCCCCTCGGCTGCGTGTGGGTCAGGAGACAGACCTGTCTCTAGACCGGCTAACCGAGCCACTCTCCTCGCCAGTACTTCTTCGCCTGGCTGCTGAAGAGGCGGATGTCTCCCCCCGTTCCTGACCGCCCTCTGTTAGCTCTTCCTCACTGTACAGTGTGGGCTGAGCCCACAGCATGCGATACTTCGCTTGGTGAGGGAACACCAAAGGACAGGGGCAGGTCGAGGACACGTGATTTCAGTGGGCTTGCTCCCGGGCCATGCCAACTAACGGTTGTGTCTGACATACCCCAGCCGACCGTTGGCTGTAGGTGTCAGAGGTGACCTGGGAAGAGGAAGACGACCGAGTCAACCAATCGATGACGGCAGGGTTGTCGGTGGAGACACGACCGCTGGATGACACCGGGAGCACTGGCCTCTGGCTGCGACTAGTGCTGCCTCGACCTCTTCCTCTGCTGCCACGTCTGCTCGCTCCTGAAACATTGCCTCCTCTGCCACTCCTCTGCGTGTTGTCTGACATACTCTTTTAATTCAATAAGCACCCCAAAAATAAAAACGGATTTAACTCTTTGAACGTACAATAGTGGTTGTGAAGCAGAAAGTCAGTTTATTTAGCACAATCGGTCAATTGCAGCTTGCCGTTGGCTGGAAACTGTACGTTTTATGTCACTGGAATGCACTAATCACCCAAAAAATATTTCCGCCACCCGGCGTGTAAATGGATCTAACTCTTTGAACGTACAATAGTGGTTGTGAAGCAGAAAGTCAGTTTATTTAGCACAATCGGTCAATTGCAGCTTGCCGTTGGCTGGAAACTGTACGTTTATGTCACTGGGAATGCACTAATCACCCAAAAAATATTACCGCCACCCGGCGTGTAAATGGATTAACTCTTTGAACGTACAATAGTGGTTGTGAAGCAGAAAGTCAGTTTATTGTACACAATCGGTCAATTGCAGCTTGCCGTTGGCTGGAAACTGTACGTTTATGTCACTGGAATGCACTAATCACCCAAAAAATATTACCGCCACCAGCGTGTAAATGGATTTAACTCTTTGAACGTACAATAGTGGTTGTGAAGCAGAAAGTCAGTTTATTTAGCACAATCGGTCAATTGCATCTTGCCGTTGGCTGGAAACTGTACGTTTATGTCACTGGAATGCACTAATCACCCAAAAAATATTACCGCCACCCGGCGTGTAAATGGATCTAACTCTTTGAACGTACAATAGTGGTTTGAGAAGCAGAAAGTCAGTTTATTTAGCACAATCGGTCAATTGCAGCTTGCCGTTGGCTGGAAACTGTACGTTTGTGTCACTGGAATGCACTAATTACCCAAAAAAATATTACCGCCAGCCGGCATGTAAATGGATTTTAACTCTTTGAACGTACAATAGTGGTTGTGAAGCAGAAAGTCAGTTTATTTTGCACAATCGGCAAACTGCAGCACCAACTGTGCACGACAGCCACCAAAAAAAAAAGGGTGTATGTCACTTTAAATTTTCGATTCTTTGATAGCTGTGGCCCTAAGTAACGATTCTGTGTCCCTGAGTAACGATTCTGTGTCCCTGAGTAACAATTCTGTGTCCCTGAGTAACGATTCTGTGTCCCTGAGTAACGATTCTGTGTCCCTGAGTAACGATTCTGTGTCCCTGAGTAACGATTCTGTGGCCCTAAAGTCTCTGTGGCCCTAACTCTGTCCCTTAATACAGACAGGTCTGTCTCTCTTGAATGACCGGAGGCTAATGGAGAATTCTAAGATGGCCGCGATTTATAGTGCTGGCTGGCTGCTGATTGGCTAATGCGATCACATGTCATGAATGCATTATGGGTCAGCGCGCCTTGTCTGCGCGCCTTCCCAGAGATCCCCGCCCCATCTTCTCTGTCCATTTTCTCCGTGGCCACACATGTCGCCGCCATTTTTGGGAAAATTCGATTCGTGCATCCGAAGTTTGCTAATCTTCGGATTTGTCGCGAATAGAATTTTTCCAAATCTTCGGAACGAATTCCACTTCGTCATGTTCGATTCGCTCATCTCTAGTTGTCAACCTAGGACAGGTTGAGTGTTATTGGCAGGATTACCAGGTGAAAATAAACAGTATAAAATAGAAAACCTAGGTAGCCAC